ATAAGACTAAATATAGATAATAATATAAACTAAAAATAAAATTAATTATAAATAAGATTAATTAATATAAATTACTTGTGTGATATCAAAAAATCCATCTATTATTCTTTTTACCAGATATTATATAATTAAAAGTTACTTCTCTATAATCTAGCATATATATATATGATAAAAACTAGCTATTCAGTATCATCTACATGCTATTATCAGATGTATTATGCTCTATAAAAGATTTTCAATATCATATATATCAACCTGATTCGTTGAGAATCATATTTTCACTGCGCCACATCTAGACATGAAGATCATTTTGCCTTTATTTAGAAATAATTTCTCTGTAATATTCAAGTAAAGAACAAGAGAGAATAAATAACCGTTTATAAATATGAATAACTTGCTACATTTTTTTGCTTTGCAATCTTATGATGTTGTCTACAATGGAACGAAACGAACAAGAATCTAGAGATGAGTCTATACCGTTGTGCTAAGATGCAATATAGCATGTAATGAAAATCTGGATATGAATGCTAGTTTGAAACTAGCTCTTTTGCGCTGTTTCTAATGGTTTTTTTATTTAGCATTTTTTTCTTATTTAAAATTATCTAACGTGACGATGAAATCCTGTTGCAACAATTTCCAAATTTTTGATTTCAAATAAGCAAAAGATGATCATTACAAAAGACAAAGAATATATCGATTAAATCTACAAGTAAGAACTTTATGAAAAGATTTGATTTGATGGGCTTCGTATCCTCCCAAGCATATGCGTTTGCAATAATCAAAGTCTAGACTAAAACAATCACAAAACCCACAAAACCCACAACATGTATAACTACTAAGTTATTAATCGACACGATCTCCATGAACACGGAATCGATAAACACGAGTAAATTTTGAATTGCCCCAATTGTTCATAATTTTAAATAGAACAGCGCGTATTGGTACTTCTGATGTGACGGTGTTGAATATTTGCCTTGGAGCTGATTCTTTAACATTATAAGTAAAACGGCCAAGAAATATTGTGAAATCTTCTACGCTTAATTCAAGGCCGTTTTCTGGAAGTCCCCAAACCTCGAAATCCTTTGGTGCTGGTGAAACTTCATCTCGTACTGCAACTTCTTTACTAATATGTTCATAAGTGATTGCATTTATATGTGCATTTTTCGCTAGTCGCACAGCAAGTACTCCTTTTTGTCCTGCGAAACTCCAACATAGACCATCATAAATACCAGGCGCAATAGTAATCATCGGTGCATTGTCGACAATATTATTCCGCCATGATATATATGAGATAATCTTCCTTGTCCAACTTTGAGGAGAGACAGAGTAAGATAATGATGTCAGATGTGGAATTATTCTTGCACCTACTGTTGAAAGAGCAAAATCGGGACGACTTGATCCATATTTTTTTTCTAATAATTCTCTCGTAAAAACCTTTTTATATAATTTAAATTGAATTAATCAATTAAATTAATCAATTGAATTAATCAATAAACCAATCAATTAATTAATCAATCAATTACCGTAAAAATCCAAAATTAAGCTACGTTTTTACAATAAATTTAGGCTTGAAAAAAAGGAGGGTAGCTTATTGTCGATTTTTTACGGAAATTGATTTGATTGATTGATTTATTGATTAATTGATTGATTGATCGAAGAGAAATAATTAGTTTACCTCTTGCATTTCTCTGATTACTGACTTCAATACTTCATCTCGATTAAGACCAGATTCAACTTTATCTTCCAACATTTTTTGTATTTCGTGAGAGAAAACAGTTCCAACTTCATTAGCAATTAATGCACGAAACTCATCAGAGTCCCAAGCGATATCCAATGAATGTTTGTTGCGGTAATTCCACGTGTAAATTAGAAAAGAGAAGAGAACAACTATAAAAATCATACTGAGCACTTTGATCTTGATGTTGATGTATGGATTTACACGTGGATGTCGTTGAATATAACGAATAAGTGTTCTAAGTGAATTCCAAATGAACACTAAAAACATTGGCAAAGTATGAATTTGTATTGAAGTTTCAACATTTTTCCATGAATCAGAACTATTTTTATCACTGGTGGTGGTGGTGGTAGCGTTGTTGTTATTACTACTACTGCCACTACTATTCTCAGATGTATTCAATTGATTAATCTCCTTATTATTTTCCTCTTCATTATAGCAAATCTCATCCTCTTGTAAGAGCATGGTTCCAAACACACTGGGCTGGTAAGTTAATTTTGGGATTCTTTCCACAAGTTGAACTTTCTGTTCAAAATTTTTGACGTTCCTCGACGTATCATTTTCATAGCGTAAATCTTCAACTGAGCCACCTCTTTTCAGTATTTGATATACTTCTTCTTCACGTGCATATGGTCCGTCCGGAGATACACCACCAAATAAAAAAGATGATTCTCTCAATATAGGAATTTTTTTTTGTTGTTTTGGTTGTGGTTGTGGTTGTGGTGGTTGCTGAACTATTGGATCATCATAATAGGGTGGTGGTGGTATGGTTGCTGTTGGAGAAGTTTCTGGCGTTAAAGGAATTTGTCGTTTAAGCGGTGAAGGTGTTGAGGGTGCTGATATTGTAGATATCGACATTGTTGTTGGTGGTGGCGTTCTTGGTTGTCTTAAGTTATAACGAGGCGTTTGCTGAGGATTTGTTGTTTCACTTTCAAACTCCTTTATTGCAGTACTATTTGTTGTTAGCCTGCGGCGAGACATTTCCCATTTTTTTTTTAAGGGTCAACGTTAAAGATTTTTGTCCTTATAAAGGTCACTTGATTGATAGATAATCTAAAAAGGAAACTCAATTTATCTTGAAAACCAAATTCTTATTCATGATTGGCCTGAATTCAAAGTGTCTAAACTAAATTAGGAAATAAATTGCACTTTTTTTAAAGGTAAATATTTATGGTGCACGTACACTCGACCCAAAAAGTTATCGACGTGCATGATCGAATTTCAAAACCATCATAAGCTTAATTTTATAGTCACAAAACAATCTCCTTTACTTTCATGACAAAATGTTGTTTAAAAATTAATAATTGATTCGAGTTTATATCAAGTTTTTGGGTTGCAGTATGCAACTATATAGTTGCGTGAGACTTTCCTATTTCGTTGTTTATTTGATCTAGATCATTTTAGTAATAATAACGAAAGTATCACTATTGTTTTTATATGTATGATCTTTACTAATTTTGATTCACATCCCAATTTTAGCATCTTTAATAAAAAAATTCACATATAAAGATAAAATTACTTGATATAAAATTTATTAATAAGTTTACTAAATAAAATATTTTTGAAATCTATTAAAAAATAATTTTAATAAAATTTAGTATTTTTTAAGTAAAAATTCAAGTATTATATTATTTTGAATTATTATTTTATATTAAATGAGAATAATTTTATAAAAAAAGTTATTAATATAATTATTTAATATATAATTTTATAAAAATAATTATTATTATAATTTAATTATAATTTAACAAAACTTATAGTTTTTTATTAAGCTTTAATAAAAAATCATTTTTATAATTAAATTAAAAATGAATTTTAGTTGAGTTTTTATTAAATAATAAAAAATTTTATTTTATAATTGAATTAAAAATAAATTTTAATTAATTTTTATTAAATTCTAATAAAATCAGATTAAAATAAATTTTATTTAGGTTTATTAAAAAATTATTTAGTTAACTTTATTAAATTTCAATAAAAATTGCTTTTTTAATCTGATAAATAGCAGATTTTTGTTAAATTCTAATAAAAATTTATTTTTTATTAGATAAAAAAATATATTTATTTATTAAAACTAATTGAAATCTATTTTTCAAATTAAAATAATTTTTTATTAAATTTAAGAAAAACTAATTAAAATTTTCTTTATAATTTAATAATAAATAATTTTAATTAAATTTATAATTTTAAAAATTAAAATATTATAATAATTAATAATAAAAAATTATAAACATATATCAAAAACTTAATTATTTTTAAAAATATAAATTTATATATATATATTTTAATAAAAATTTTTAAAAAAAATTTTAAAAAAATTTATTTTTTCAAAATTTAATAAAAAATTACTTGAAAAATTTTTTAAGATAATTTTATTTTATATATTATTTTAAATTTATATAATAAAAAAAATATAATTAAAATTTTTTATATAATATTTTTATAGAATATTAGTTAGTAAATTTTATAATAAAATTTTTCTAATTATTTTTTAAAATTAATTTTTTTAACTTAAAAAATCAATTAAAAAAATAATACTAATAATATTTAATAAATAATTTTAAATAACCTTTTTTAATAAATATTAATATATATAATATATTACAAAAAGTAAAATTACTATTTTTATTTATATTTAATAAATATTTATTTATATATATAAAAATTTTAAAAATATACTAATAATCAAAAATAATATAATATTTAAATTTTTTACTAATTATAATTAGTAAAATATATATAAAAGTTTTTAATTTTACTAACAAATATTTTTTATTTTTAGCTCAA